TGGATCTTTTGCCACATATTTCGCTTTTGTCCAGATTCTAGCAATGGGCATGCTGACTTCAAAGCCCTTTGAACTTCCACAAGTTTTTAAGTCACAGCTGAGTCAGAAAGCTGTATGTTTCTCATTTGTAGCAAGAAACACTTTAAATGCCGGTTTTAGATGTCTGCAAACAAAAGGAAGGAATGGAACAAACTTGACAAATGTGACTTTACACACTTATATTTGAAGGAAAAAGTAAGAGCTTAGAAGCATTTGATGAGGTTTATCTACATTCTTTAAACTGATCRTTTCCACATTTTTTGCTGCTTAATAATAATATTCATGGTCTGAACCTCCTATGATTGTTATTTTACTTTGAAATATTAAAATTGAAACATAAAGTTAGCAAAACTTTTCTTTGCCTGAGAACTTCCTTTTATTTATTTTATTAAGAACTATTGAAGGACTGAAAGTAGATTTGAGCCATAAAGCTAAGTACATAAAAGTTTATGTACTGATTATGAGTCTAGGTCTGAAGTTTAACGCAGATCCTTCTTTATATTGAATGAGGTGTCACAAGCTCCTATTAGCCTTTCAAGGTTTGATTAGATGCCAGTATAATTAAAACATTCTTTGGCACACGATCATGTGCKTTCATGATCACAGGCAGCTCTGTGTACGTGCATGTGCACGTTACATGGGACTGCAACCACCACCCACCAGGAGCTCACAAATGCTACATCATTCTGTTCAGTAATTTTAGGTACTTCTGCAAACAAAGGACTGTTCTAKTTTTTTATAGTGACTGGCAGTACTGTGAAGTCCTGACCTGCTCTTGGCGTTGTATTTGAAGCTCCACTGGCAGTCATTCTGCACTTACTCTACAGTTCCATTTATAACTTGAAAGAAAAACTTGCAGATTCTGTAGAAAAAAGTCTGAGAGACAGTTATGATTACAATTTTGATGAAAATTTGCAATATAAGTGCTTTAAAAGACACATATGTCCATATGGACAGCTAAGATCAAAGAGAATAAACTCTCCAATAATGCCATTTAAAGCATATTTCAGCTGCAGAGATCCTTCAGCTACTTSCAGATATAAAACCAAGTAGAAGGTTACACAGATCTTTTATTTTGTTTGCAGGCTTTTACCTTTAAAACTCCATCCAAAATTGATTACATTTCTCCCCTCAAGAGAATGAAAAAGATGCTGATGAAGAGCTGAATCAATTTTGTAATTGCTGAGCCACAGACTATCTTGGGAATCCAGCAGCTCCTCCCAAAGAAACCAATTGTCTTAAGTGCATGTCCTAGATCCTAAAGAAAAGGGCACGTCCCTTGCTCTCTCTGTTATTTATGAACTACTTGTTCCAAGTGGAATGACTTAAAAGGAGAGATTTTTTTCACTTCAGGATATCCTAAGAACCACCGTGGAGACGATTTCATTCACATCCAAACTCTAAACAAGGCAGAGCATCAAACTAACTTGTTTTGCTTGCCCATTAGTTCCTTTTGACAGACTTTCTGGCTGATTTCTGCTGGAAAAATTTTCTCAGTATGTTCTGCAACCACTTACTGGTTTGGGCCCCACAGAGATGCAGGAAACACCTGATATTYAACCTTGAGGGCTTGGTAGCCAAGTAACTCGGTGCTGCCAGGATTTGAGTGGCTGTAGAATATTTAAGGCAGCCAAGTAAGGACTATGAAGATTAAAATTTTGCTCTTTAAAAAAGTATGGATTATGTTTTAAAACTAGAAAAGAATACAAATACCTTCAAACATYTTTCAAGTCCACTGAGWRTGAAACCAGCTTTCCTSTTCCTTCACCTCCCCCTTMAAACTTTACTGACAAGTGTCAYAAATTAATTTCATAGTTTCTTCTARTTTAGCTCTTACTTTTATTAACAAGGAGTCAAGTTCCTCTGGTTCATMCCACATATGAACAGATGCCCACTTCTTGATGTTGTGGGAAGGCTGCCTGTCCATAACCAGCAAAAAGGAGAAAATTTGATMAAAAAWTTTAATTCTGTAAGTATAAGAGGATTTTTACATTTATGCAGCATGAAGGATTCCAATTAGTCTCAACATCCCTCAGGCTTCCTCTACTGTTTTTTTGGTTTTTTTTAATAATGAAACTTCTCAAACTAATTTGTATATATCTCAGACTTCCAGATGACTATGATCATTACAGCCTTTAAAAAATGTTAAAATACCTGTTGAAGGTATTGATTTTGAAGTTAATTAATAATTAATAAAAGCTACAACCAGGGTTGCTTATACTTGTATTTGTATCCAGGCTGGATTCAAAAGAAGAACCTGTTGGCTTTAGTATAAATCATAAAAATGTCTAAGGTTGAGGAACCTCTCCTTTTCTCAAAAGCTGCCTACTTTGGAAACTAAGAGTATATAGCTTTTTTAATACTAATAACTGTAATATTAATACTGTATATTGAACATTGAATATAAAAGGTTATTAAGGAGAAAACTCATAAGACTGATCACATATTTTATTTCACATATTTGATTGAATTTTTGAATCTTTTTTTACTTAGATACTGATGCCTTAATACTATAGCTCTTTACTTTTCAGGAAGATAAATTTCAAGAGATAAGAGAATTGACAGAATGTAGGTTCACCAGAAAAATCAATGCACCAGWATTTTCTAAAGTGAAGCAGTGGATGTCTCTCTGCAGAGCTGGCTCAGRTTCACTGATAAGCAATCAAAGTGATCATTGTTTCCTGGAGGGAACAGAAATACAATGGGGGAAAGTGAACAGKGCTCCATGCTGGAAATCATTACGTGTTTAGATTGTGCAAAGTTTATAGTGGGGGGAATTTCATAATTAGTTTTAGATGTTAACTTGCATTTTGGRTGTCTAAATGCCTAAATGTCTAAAGCCATTTTGGTACTATGAGTATCAGCTAACAGGGAAGGATGCCTAGGCAGAGAGGAACAAAGGCAGGAAGATAATTTGCCAAATGGATCAATGACAGAATAAAAATATTAGAAGTAGAATCAGGCTGTTATTCCAGGTAGTAGAAGTAATCCTACTTAATAAGCAGTCCTCAGATCACSTGAGAATAAAACAGCTCTCAGTTAAATTGTATGAGTGGAAGACCTGGTTCCTCATTAGGAAGATCTCCAAAAGAGCTTTTTGGAGCTTCCCTCTGAYAGAGCCTTGAGTAAGATGATGACTTTCAACAACAAATTGCCTGAGCTTTTGATGCAGTGCCCTACTGCTGCTTTGGTACCATTACAGTTGTTAACTTTCACGTTGAATTAAATCAAAGAAGAAAAGCTTCATAAATCATAAAGAAAATGGCTTTCCCCAGAAGAAAGTATCTACTGTCCAGTTTCTTTTGAAGGAAGGAATATCTTACACCTCTGGGAACAGGCTGATATGTTGCTTGAAGGTGTACTTTTAACAAATGCAATAGACTACAAAGAAAATGATGCCCAGTGTTCCTTATACCCTTGCTTGATTATTTCCAGATGTTACCTTATAGATTTACAGTCTTGTTGAATTATTATTGTACCTTAACACGTCTTTTTGTTCAAACAATAGGACTGACATACAGAGTTCATAGTATTGATTCTGGATAGGATATTTGTCTTAAWACATTTTACAAGACAACACTGTAATTCAGACCAATTAAACTCTTGTTCATCATGTCACTAAACTGAAGAACTATTGTAAATTTGGAAAACTCCACAGGGAATTACAGTGAAACATTTGATCTAGCATCATAAACTATTTTAAAGTCAACATAGCACACAGGAATAAGTAATATTAGCAATTAGAAATAACCTAAATTAATTGTTTTCTTAACTAATGTCATTTTTTTGTGAATTAGCAATAAACAGTAAATACCAACACAATRTAAGTACCAATGGCCAGCTACAGATCACAAAAGCGAACACGCTTCTTTTCAGCGGCATCAATGCAGAAATCTGATCCTGCTTCAGTACTGTTGAACTGTGAATTTRATGTGACTAAACAATGAATATAAGAGCCTTCCAACTACTAATTGTGGCTTGCTATTTACAAACTTTATTTATAAACTCATTTTCATGCAAGTATAAAATACTAATTCCATGGACAAATACACATTTGTTCACCACTCTAAATTATATACATTGTATTTGCATCTAATATTCAGAGAAGTGCAAAGTCCACAGTGACATAAAGAACAAGTTTTGTAAACTATTTCAGATGACAAGCTCTCARAAGATATTAGTAACCATATGATAACATATTGTTTCTATACTGCTGAAATCAAACATTTTTGTAGTAAAAGAACATACATTTCAGCTACATTCAAGTGAATATTTTATTACCATGTATTATGTCTTACAAACTTTAGTGGAGATGAGCAAGAGCGCTACAGTACCATACCTTAACGCAAGAGGTGTATTGCATGGTATGTGCAGGCATAGCAAAGGAGAGAGAAGAACTGGAAAGAAACACAAGGTAAGAAAACTTGTACAAAAATGGACAGTAATACTGACTAACACTGGGTTATAATCTTACTTATAACAGACCTGAAGGGCTACTAGAGATCCAATTCAGAAACACCTGTGCACTGTAGGTACAGTTTGGTGCAGATCAAGAGTGCACTAATACAGTCAATGTTGTACGCGTAAGATAATGCACAAAATACRCTGATATGCTTATAAACAACTAACTTGTTTACATTAAGTAGGGCAGCACAGTTGTAGTGCTGCATCCTTGGCACTTAGTGATAGGACAACATGTATTTGGTTTAACTAAATTCATAAACAGGGTATAGAATGGTTTGTAAGATGGAACACATACATTATCCCTTTAAACCTTCCGGTTTTACAGCATTTTTCTGATTTTCAAGTTGAAACGCAAACAAGATATGCTAGCTAGRTATGGAAGACATTTCAGATATCGGCTTAAAACAAGACCTTCAATTAAAAAAAAAGACACAAACAAGAATTAATTCAAATGATATTAAGTGAATTTGTTACTATTGTCTTGTGCTGAAAAAAAAAAAAAAAAAAAAAAAAAAAAAAAAAAAAAAAGCAACCTTATAATAAAACCCACAATGTCATTGTGGGATTTTCCTGAACAGTAATTGCTTCTTTAATGTCCCTTTCATACATGCTAATTTCACTTAAAAGAACTGCTGATCTTATTAATATGAAATGTCGTAACTGAGTTAGAAGTTTGGCCTAACGTATCACATCACACAGAACAGAAGAAAATATGCTCTTCTTTAAAGAAAGCATGTTTCAGCTATGAAAGGATTCAAATTTTAAGTGATTGTCCTTTATTAAACAATATTAACAACTATCTGGAGGGAGCCAATTTACTTTTGCCTGCTTCAAACAAACTGGCTAAATTGCCATTTTACATTATACATAACAAATGTAATAAAATTGTTCATAACATATTATGATATAACACTTYAAAATTAACTGTTTAAAATATTTTACAAAGACATTTTATTATATATGAACTATACAACACACAAGAGTATGAAATATTTTGAACATATACACATTTCTGTATTTTTCACGTAGATTATTATTTTGCACCAAACATTGGTGTCTGCAATTTTAACAGTCCTCAGATAAAAGCAAAACAAAACCCCAGAAAKTTTAGTGGATATGTCTAGTTCTATTACAAGGAGAATTTCTCTAAYGACCTTTTTATTTCCCCAATTTCAYATTATGCACAAAGCTTTTCAAATGGACCAACATACACAAAAAAAATAACCAGTCTGTTCTTTGCAGTGCAATTTGCCAGGGACAAAATTGAAACCAAACTCATCCTTTCCCCACTATTAACATTGAAAACTGCAGTCAAAATAATGTCAATAGCAATCACTGTTGAGACTTCTTTACCCCTTTTATTGAAAATGCAATCCTTTTCAATATTCATTTTAATGAAAATATTTGCATAGAGCAGCCTTGTATTATTTCTAAAGAACATTGTGAGCGTTTTAACACAAGATAAGGCACATGTTTTTCAGCATTAATAATCTAAAACTAATCCTGAGGATCTGCTCCTCCCCCTCAGCAAAATCTGCTTTTTTAATATACCCTGTATTACCTGAAGAAAGCAGAAAAGCAGTATARAATAAACTCAAATTCCTTAGCTGAACTAAATTCAGAACATTAACAACTCCTGATAACAGTGTAACAAATCCACAGATAAAGAATTAAGTCACTCTCTAAACAAATAATTGTTAGAGGGAAAGAAAAAAAAAAGACACAGCCAGTAGCACTGTAGATGTTAGCTAAAAGTTCACATACTAGAGATGACATTTATAGTGAGTTTTGCTAAAATAAGCTCCCATCAGAAACAAGGTAGCTAAATTGTGAGGCACTTTAGGTTGACATGAAAARGAGGAATGCAAGGGGTCTGTTTCGTAGAAAACCTGAAGTTGCATATCATATCCTTGTATTAAGCCTTCTATTAAAGTGCTAGAAATGGAGACTTAAAACAAAAGGATTTAAATATAAAATAAGTGATTAAAGAGCTTAGTATGCATTAAAATTAAGTGCTTTTGATTCTCATTAATTTAGAGCTTTTTTTAATAGTTTTTTAAAAATAAAGTCTGGAAATATGTGTGAAATCACCTTCCTTGTGCCATCAATGCTATTTGTAAAGTGCCCAATTATTTTCTAAACAACAAAACCATTTGCCTTATCTTATGTTGTATAGCATGACATAGTCTGTAGTATGTATGCAATCCATACTGCAAGGACACAGTCAACCTGATGGAAAACAGCACATGCATACTTTTAATAGGAAGATTTAATTCCACCTGTCATTCGAAAAAGCCGGGTCTTGAATTACGTATCCACCCGTATATAGTGCAACCAACCTCATATTCTCAAAATGTAATTTAGCTGTTAAAGTCTGATGCTCAAAGACAGACTTATCAAGCTTTTCCTCAGAGCAACCTGAYGCCCAGACAAAATCACAGATGGAGCTCTAGGTCTGAATCACATAAATCCACTAGATGCCAAATCTGAGAAGGATCTGGGTTCTTTTGGATGATGAAGAGGCTGAAGATGTGTGGCAGTCTGTGCATTACTGATCACATCTAACTGAGAGGGATATGATTCATTTACATTTCCTCCAYTGAAACCATTTTGGAACTGGCAGGAAAAAAAAGAATATAAATGGTTAGTATAGGAAACCAATTTATTTATAAGTATTCAAAAATCTTCCTAAAGACACAGTGGAAGAAATAATCTTAAAATACATTGATTAGCTTTAATTGTTTGGTTTTTTTTTAATGATGAATAATGAGAAGTTAATTTGCATTAAAGTAGGGACTGAATSATCTGTGAATCTGCCCATGTTGATGTCAGTGGCAGCCCTACTTCTGGCTAAGTTAAGAAATAATTCTATTATACACAGTATATATATATATATAACTATAAGCAATATAATTTCCATTTGTAGAAAGTACATTCTGAGAACTTCTTATTGTCACATCCAGCTGTTATATTTTAAAAGCAACCTATTTACATCTTTCCATGTCTGCAGTGGGATCCAGACATTACAGCTCTTCCAGGAATGCACATGCAGTCCTATCCATAAGCTGCAGCATACTGTGTTCAATTCACTGGCTGAAATGTTGCAGGGTGGGCTTTTTTGACAGTCCTCATATTGACAATGCCAAGCAAGTGCAATGAATGGCTTTCATCAGTCTTAACATAATTGTTCATAGGATTATTTTAATCAGCTAATGTAATGCTTCCTGTCATGCTATGGACTTTATCTACAAAATACTTCATTCGGTCATGCAAAGAAAATACAACAAAGTATTTTAAACATTTCCATCATCTCTTCGAGAGTAAGTAGCTTATATTATAAGTACTCATTCATTCMAGGTTTGTCTTTAAGACCATGTCTTGTACATTCATTCATTCATCTATCAGATTTTGCTGGGGGTTTATTCTTTTTTTTTYCTTCTATGCAAACATTGAAATTTGACTAACTGTGCACTGTTCCTCTAAGTTTTTAACAAGACTAAAGCCATGTGAATTACATTTTTATTCAAAGCTGACACGCTTTAAAGAGCATATACTAGGATTACTTCTGACAGAAGCAGGTTATTTCAATATTCTTCAATAATAAGGTGATTATCCTCATCAATTTTTTTTAAGAATGCTCTCAACACAGAATCAAATACTCAGAAAGGTTTCTSCTGCTTAATAAAAGAATACAGACCCAAAAAAGTGCAAAACTATCAGAGGCCTTTCTGTCCTTCTCCATCACTGAAAGTGATTTTAGACTACACTGGCTGTACTCCTACCACAATTACAAGAAAAGGCAGAAGGTCAAGGCACATGACCACAATAGACACTTCTGGCTTTCTAATCCCATAGTCTTTTCATGTGGAAATCGATGGGAGTTAGAACTCGGAAAAGATACCAATCACAGCTTGTATAGCAACATCTGTCCTCTCTCTGGAGTSTAACCACTGACAGGGATGTCAGTGTGCTAAACCCAGCCACCAGGACTGCCCTACTTTGGTCTGGCTGTGTGAATATGGGCTCAGACAGCRGTATCCTATCTGCTTAGTCACATGAGCCTTCTGCTTATGCAGCGCTACCCAGCCCCACACAGCACAGCAATACCCTAACCAGAGGAACTGAATTTGCCTCTGAACAACTCAAGTAATGACAATTTTTTCACAAAGTAGGCTCTGTTCATTTTCTACAACAAACTAAAGGTCCTATTATAACTGCAGCACAGCATTCTAGTAAATATGAAGCAATAGACAACAGTTTTTCCAGAGATGCTGTCTTAATCATTAAACTTATTATAGAGAGATGTGAAGAAAATAACAAATAGGAAGATAATAACAAATAGGAGTTATAAGAGAAATGATTAAGGCAGTGTAACAACAAAATAATCTGCAAAATAAATGCAATTGAAATCAACCATTAAAAATAAAGACATGGAATTGCAAATGCAATGGCTGTTCAAAACTGATGCATCACACTAGTACAGCTTTTGTGAAAAGAGTAATTCTTTGTTATTATAAAGACAAACTTGGATGGCCCTGGAAATCCTCTGCAAACCTATTAAGAAGGGCTACGAAAGACTAAACACAGAGCACAGCCAGACAACGCACTGCCAAGCAGTGCGCAAGTTTGAGCACTGCTGTTTCTCAAAGTCACTTCATGCAATTTCAACCCTGGGCACTCAGGGAAAAKACATTAATTTTGCTTAACTGTCCTGTATTTTGCGTTTTTTTTCAGCAGTGAAGCAGTTTTGAAAAGGAAATGTTTTGTGTTGGTATTAAGCATGTAAAAAATGGATATGTTCTAACTGCATTCCTCACCTTTGTCTTGCATAGGTTAAATGCCAATTAATACTTTAATTCTGCAAATRCTCATGCATGTGCATTAAGCATTTGCAGGATCAGTACTTCAGARCATTAACTCATTGAGGTAAAACAAMAAMAAAAAAAGAATTGTGGCTCTGTATTTAGTAGCATTAACAGAAATAAATGGTATAACAGAAAGTACTTCAACAAAGTTATTTAGAATCAGGAATTACTAATGGAATTTTATTTCAAAGTGACGAAGTTACAGTTTATTTACAACTGTAGTCTGTGATACAACCAGGATCCTGTCTTCTATGGCTTTTATTGTTCAGTCTTCTTGGTGAAAAAGGATCAGCTTATCTTACTGTGAATATAACTTTTTCCAACTTTTTTCTTCAGCAGATAATTTAGACAGCCACTTCAGGAACAAGCTGACTTTCACTTATTGCAATATATAAAAATGTTTTTGTAGTAACATTGTATAAAGAAGTGAAATAGGTCATATTTCAGGTCATTTTTATGATATTATAATCAAATACTTTCACTAATCCTAAAATCATTGAAGAATCTGAGTAGCTAGACAATACTGACACAWCAAGAACAAAGTTTTTCTTTGTTTCTTACAACACATTTTATGAAAAGGAGTGTGCTAAGCAAACTCAACTCCTCTGAAAAAGGTTTATTAGCAAATTACAAGACTTTGACAAATCTACTTTTCTTTTGCTCCTATCAGAAAGATTACAGCTAGGTACCACAGACTAGCTCATTCACTTTTGATTAATACTGAAAYAGAGAGCTATCAGGCTAAAGGTTCACACAGATATAAACTTGACCAAACGCAACTCTCTTCACTCTAATGAACAAATAAAGCAAAGACATCCACACACTGCTAACTGCTAATCTTTTTCAAATTCAGCAATTCAGTCACAATAAACTCTGCCCCACAGCAGCCACTCAAAAYAGTATCAACTCGATTCAAAATGTAAGAGATGCAGCAATGCTGTCTACCATACCTTGTTYCCCAAGGTTTGCTGTTGTTGATTTGTCATCATAGGATCATACTGCATTTGWTCCACGCAGCTGGGCTGTGCCTCCTGCGTGCACGGGTACATAGAAACAGCGCCTGCATAGCACGTTTCAGGRGTGAGCATAACTGACTCAGAGTTTATCCCACACTCAAGGTTCTCAGGGACTTGCTGCAAACAACTGAGAAAATCCTCAAAGTTGGAAGAAGCAGAATAGGTCGATCTGTCAAAACCTSCTGCAGGAAAATCCATTTGAGCAAAATTAGAAAGCTGCGGCATCATCGCTGTGGGCTGCTTGTAAGGAGCAAAGTCTTGCCTACACTCATAAGGGGAAGGGTTTATTTCTGATTTGTAAGGGAATTCAGATGTAGTGGCATGCATGCCAGGAAACATGTATTGCTGGGGCTGCYGCTGTGAGCAGCTAAGAGGCATGCTGATGCCAGAGCTCCAATTTGTGAACATCCCATTGACTTGCATATGTTTCATCTTTTGACAGAGCTGCCGTTGCTGCTGCTGTTGTTGCTGTTCCACGAGCTGTTTCTGGTGCTGATCCAGTTGATGTGACTCTAAGTCCTGCTGTATCATGCAGCCTTCATTCTGGACTAAGGGCTGCTGCTGGTTACAGTCTGAATACAAGAARTCAGATTTATTTAAGGAATCCTGAACATAAGTCAGGATTTCGTCAGTTATGTTGATGTCCGCAATATCATCCACATCAGATAATTCAGTTTTAAAAAACTCCTCCTGCTGAATACACTTTAGATCTTCAAAGTCAATACCCAGATTTTTCATGATGCTGTACAAATCACTGGTTTTGCTATCCTGAAAGAGGGCTGCACTGTCTTCAGGAAGTGGAACAGTATTGTCCGGGGAACACTCCATCAGCTCCCGTTTGAGAATGTTGTGAGTTCCAGTAGGTAGGAGATTGTCTGTCCAGCCACTGCTAACAACATCACCCAGTTCATCCTTGCTGTCTGCAAAGAAGTTCCGCTCAAAAGAAAGTTTATGYGATGCTGGAGGGCAGAGATAAACAGACTCATCTTGACTTAACATGAAACCCAGGAGGGAGTTTGGATCCACAGAATCATTTTGCAGCGTTGCTTTGGCTCCTTTTCTCATTGTACTTTTACTCTTCGGTTGAGAGGGGTCCATAAGGCTCAACATGGGGAAAGATGCCTCGTACAACACAGCCTCACCAGTGGCAAACATGAAGGGCAACTTCATGTTACGCTTCCGTAGATGTTCTGCCCCTTCTTCATCTCTGAAAATAAATCAGATATGTAGCAGGGTGCTGCAGTACTAAACACTTACTCTAATCTTTTTGCCCCCTGGAATTTACATTAAAAATGAACTATTCTATTTGTAGGCATTTTTCAAATTCCTACCTATTCCAGCTCAACTTGTCTGAGTTAAACCAAGAGGCAGATTATAAAATAAGGAGCTTATAACTGYAATACCACATTTACATATTACATTTGTAATTAAACCTAGATAGCAAACACCATTTTCTGTGCATTATGGGCTGAAATGAAAACAAGTGTGCTTTGTTGCATGCATTAAATTTTTCTTGGTGTAGCAAGTAAATCAATACTTGAAGTATCTCTTTTTCTCCATTTTACAGRCTCCTTAGCAAAAATTATTTAATCTATTTAAAAAGGCTGAATTCCACATTTTTCAGAACTTAATTCAGCACTGAAATTCAGGACTGAATTTCTGTTATTTGTTGTTCCTTCTACACAAATGCAGTTGGATTTCTAAGTTTTTACTCATGGGGATTGAAYTAAGATACAGTGGATGGAAGAACTTCATGCCACTGCCACTGATCTTGTTCTTTATAAGAAATCAATATGTCTAAAGTTTTATGCAAAAGGACTATGCTACATAAATTCTGAAATATCAGAAATCTTTTCAATATTTGTTAGTAAACAAAGAATTTTAGGAATTTGGAATACAAAGGRTACTCATTTAAGAACCAAAATTCCTTTGTGAATATAAACAGCCTCAAACAAGTTCTCAGTTTTTGAAGCATACTACTTTATGCAACGATGACTTACGAAAGAGCTCTTTGCGTGGCAATGATGTAATCTGGYCTTCCATTTTTGTAGACAAGACGTGCATTTGCCTGTAGCCAGGCCCATCGATTTCCTTTGGTTAGAAGCCTAAATACAGTCATTCCACTCTCACCTGTCTTCATCACTAAAGAGTAAGAACACTGTTTACTGTCMAGCAAACAAAATCATGAAAGCCTGTATGTCATAAAATCCCATCTGTARAGCACTTTTACAAATCTCATGTCCTCAATCACCCCATTCAATGTGATACTAATGCATTCCCAGTGAAACAGGATGACTGATCACTTCAAGATGTTTAATTTACTGGTAAAATAAAAGTCAAAACTGCAAGAAATTGCATGTTATCTGCTACAGATTGGCAGCATTCTATATGGAGTTTTTCCATTATTTCTTCAATTACAGAAATTAATAAATACTAGAACATGCAAATAACAAAAGCCTAAGACTCTCTTACCTTCAAAAAGTGACCAATACTTAAACAATTAGAAAACACATTAGTTCTGAATCCAATTCTTWCACATTTTGATTGGTTAATGCAGAGATACTTAAAAATCTCTTATGTTTCATTACCAATGCTTGACAAACATACTACATTTTCATGGTACATTTCTGTATCGGGTTTGTGTGGCTAGGTTKTGGCAGGGACTTGCAGACCCATGGAGAGAGGAGCCCATGYTGGAGCAGGTTTCCYRGTRGAAGGTGTTTTTCAGRTCTTGTCTKWCTTCTCATGATCCTACTCTGAYTTTGTTAGTAATAAATTCAGTTAGTAACCCAAGACAAAGTCTGTTTTGCCTGTGACAGTATTTGGTGAGTAATTTCTCCTGGTCCTTATCTCAACCCATGAACCCTTTGTTWTATTTTCTCTCCCTTGTYCAGTTGCACAGGGCAGTTGATGAAGATGCTTTGGTGKGTGTCTGGCATCCAGCCAGGGTCAAMCCACTACAGCCTTTTTGGTGCCAATACTCAGGACCATGAAGATTTTGAGACAAGTATAGTAACTGACAAAACAAGTACTGAACRATGTTAGAGAGTAGAATTATAATGGTGAAATTTTGTAGTAATTGTGGTGAAGGGACAAAAGGTGGATTTTTTGAAGATGGTCCATTTTTATTCTGTGTTGTGATGAAGTAATCTTGATTTTTTTTGTGGGGAGCTTTTGTTTAATTTGGCTGGTTTTGTTGTTGTAAGTGCAAGCTGTGTGATAAATTTGGATTTTGAAGATAATTCTTAAATGTGTAATTCACAGATGCCAGGGGTGGAAGTAATACGATTGCTCAAACCCCTGCATTTCTAGCCAGAAAAATAAATTAAATGCATTAGTTAAATCCAAGAAACAAATAAAAAAAAAATCTTTGCTACAAGACTTCTTTTTTTTTTTAATCTTAGCATCAAAAATGTAGCAAAATCAGTTTTAAGACAAAGTGCAAAACCATTCAAGTTTCATCGCCTTCTACACTGGAACCACTTGTCATTCTTTATGAAAGAAACAAAAGCCCTATACGCAACAGTGACTGAGCTAAATCTGAAACAGAAAATGTGCTTAAGATAGATTGAGAAAAACCTGCTGAGGGGCGTTATCTGATTGCCTGTGAGGGGATTAATTAAAAAAAAAAAAAAAAGGGGATTAATTAAAAAAAAAAAAGACATTTTCAAGAGAAGTCAGTAGAAATGAAGAATTCCCAAATATTCTGAAGATGATTCTATAAGTTCTGAAGATAACTATGTTACAAGCAACAAAAAAGTAAAGAACAAAGTTCCCTGAACATTTCTGTGTTAGATAGCTGATGCTTATTTCCTTAACACTAAACTTCTTGCCATAAATTCTTACTTAAACCAGATCAAGCTGCCAAGAATCAAAACCAGAAGTGTATAAGACACTAGCATGTTAAATCAGAAATTTATTTCTGGTAAAAAAATCTTACATCAATGTYAAAAGAAAACACTTTATTTAACTTGCTAACAGGAAAGTTATCTTTGGTAGCGCCCTTGCCCAAAGAAAGTTGTCGAAACAGCAGAAGCTGGGTTGAGCAGAGAASGAAATGAGAAGAGCAAGATGTGACAGAGACTAGAATATATGTACTAAAAAGGAATACTAAACATTCCTTCAACCAGTGTAAGTTTTTACAGGGACAGAAAGAATACAAGAAATGAACAGCGTTCTTTTTGTTAACAACCTGGGTTTTTATACTGTACTTCATATTACATTCATACTGAAAAAACACTCCAWGCTTTGATTTTTCAGCCTTTCTTAGGGAACGAAACTTACTTCGGATGTGATTTTCAGCACAATAAAGCATATCAGCTGCATGAATAAACTGGTATCCTGATCCTTTCATGCACAGCTCTGCTTCRGTGTATCCCAGCACAATCTTTCCTCTGGAAGGTAAAACCAAAAAATTACAACACTGTTGATGGACCAACTCACAGAATGAATGTCAAGCAAGTTAGCTATGGCTAGAACATTTCAGATGCAAGTGCTAACTACACTTTGTTGCAATATCAATTGTATGCGGAAGCACAACAGCTGAAATAAAAAATACAGTCAACAAATCATAAAATTTTAACCAGTCTGACAGGTTGCATTCAGTGGCGAGAACTGAGTTCACAAAACTATTAGATCATTAAAAAAGTGGATGCCTGCAGCTGGACTCTCAATTCCACACTACTGAACATATTCACTCCTAGCAGGCAGCTCCCATTGGTTCCAATGAAAGATGCTCTTTCCTTAGCCCTGTTTGATATCATTTACTTGTAGGTGCTTGTGCGCAGAATTTAGTAGGGGTTAAACTTTGGTTATCTAAAACTTCTTGCCTAAATTAGAAGTTCTAGCAGCTTAAAGTCCAAACCTGGGTATATCTCAGAACTACATCCCTTTTGCTCTTGAGTGGTTTCGGACCCATGAGTTTGCATTTGAACAAGATATGACTCAGAGGACTACTAGCAAGAGTCATGCTTGACCCTGGCAGCTAAAATTAGAGTACTTTATTAGAGGTTGGGGAGATGAAAAGCTTAACAGAGTTCATGTGGTCTCTGTGAAATACATGATAAAATGATATAGTCAAAAAGAGACAAAGTGGATTTGGAACAAAGAAATTGAGATTCAAAGAGAGAAAGGTAAAGTGGATTTGGAACAAAGAAATTGAGATTCAAAGAGAGAAAGGTTAAAAAAAAAAGGGGGGTAGTAGGGATGGGGAATATATGTAAAAGTGTAAAATGTTACAAAAATTGAAGGTTTCAAGTGAATAGAAGTATTAAACAGAGGAAATAAAATAAACTGTGTTAGCATTTTGTTAGCTTTTACTTGTATCAGCTTAGAGAAATAAAACATTTTGGTCTCTCACTAGACACAATACCAAGTAATTTAACTCTATCCTATAAGAAGGCATGGAAACCCATATGAGAGACTCCACTGAAAATTAAAGCATTGTCAGTCAAAAATAGAAGATAGAGAAGGAAGGAGGCCAGGGGCTTTTATTTTGAAGAAAAACATCCTAATGGGCTTCTTGCCATGTTGAAGCATAATAACATTATTTTGATCTAGTAGTATTTCCAAATTTTACATAGGGAAAAGAATGGTTTGCAAATGGGTAAAAGTTACAGCACAGAAAATGATTTAATTTGATTATTTTTAAGAAAATAACATTTCATTGTATTWTACATGCATTTGAACTGAAGGAGAAAATATGTATGTAGAATGAAATGAAACACTTGTTCTATCAGGTCTGAAACCAGATTTATCATAAAACTTTCCTTGTTCCCTAATTCTTTAGTATGATGCCTTGGAGTTTTGATTTTGTGTTGGTTTCGTGGGTTTTTGATTTATTTCTTTTAGCAACTGAGAGTCAGAGAAAGGAAATAGACTATGACAATCCCATTTTTTTTTACTTGTTAGCATGGCTGAAGGAAAGAACCTTAACAACTTCTAAACAAACAYCACTGAAACAGTCTATCTATACCGAAAGATTAGCCTCCTTTATATTTCAAATACATACTTGAAACGTATCTCAGCAGCAAATTATTAGACTATTACACAGAATAATTTACACGTACCTAGCATCGCAGCCAGTAGGTGTGAAGTCCAGTTTGTGTTTWGTTCTGAAGATGAAGTTTTTGGTTCGTATCTCAAGGATAGATGGTGGCTGCAGGGGAGTGGCCACTGCAAACAGAGCRAGCTGAGGAGACAAAGTAGCACCATCYTTCCCTTTCTTGTTTTGTCCATGAAGAAACTTTAATCGTCCTTGAAAATTCATAGCCTTAGGATGAGGAAAAAAATAATTGTTATWTGCTGGAGATATTGAAGAGCAAGACATTTCTGTTATGATGTAAACCATGTATTTTTCGTATTTTTTAAGGTCCTTTAGAATCAAGCTTTATAGCATGGCATACATAGAAGTTAGTKAACAAGTACAGAATACTGCTTTTATATCCATTGAGTGTGTCACTTCAAGGTCTACTAATACACTTATTGAAAAACAAATTAATRGGAAGATTATTCTGGGAAAAAAACCAAACCCAAATATATAGTAACAAATGTCATCTGGGGCTTCTCATACTCAAATGARTGCACATACATATAATTATATCATTATATCTCCTGCAAATGCATATAATCAATTTTGCAATTGTAAACAATTCTGTTTGTAAGATATCACAAAGAAGGTGATAAACCCACTTGTCTTAAAGTCGAAATTATTGACTAAAAAACAATGCATTAAAAAGAGCAAGCACAGGCTTTCCCAAATAAGGGGAAACTATGGTCCTGTTAAYTATTATAACCTATTTCATTTCAAGATACTCAATAGAATATGCTCTGTAATGCTTTTTTATCAGAAAATCACACAGCACTTTCCAAAAGCAGTTGCTTATTTGCATTTCACTGAGGAAACTAAGCCATGAGAAATGAGAGAACTTGCTCCTGGTTGTGACAAGATGTTAAAGGGAAGACATTCAGTGGCACTAACTGAAACRTTGTGGTTCAAGCAGCTCAGATATCTTAGGAGACTTAACAAATAAAATAAGTTGCTGCACTTCTTGTTAAGATTATGTGGATTTCCAACTTTTAAGCATTTGTGGAAGTTTTTATGAAACTCCATACTCACCAGGAATCCAGATGAATTATCCAGGAGGCATCGTAACCTGCAGACAAAATTCCTTTCCATAAAGGAAGAATTCTCTGGAGGAAGTTGGTCTGGGTTATAATAGGTTGCTGGCTGTGAAAAGCTATTATCTCCTGCAGGAAATGATTATTTATAAGGATTATTTTTAGAAGAACACCTAGTGAAGGCTATCCATAACAAACGATCTTCTGTCTCATAAACAAAGCATTAGGTCATGACCTGGGCAAGAACAATGTAAACTGGAAACATCCTCAGACCTAGAATGATTGTAACACTGAGGTTAAGCATCAGCACTTCTGATGGGATTACATTTTACAGGCTATGGCATTTGAAAACTGTATCTAATTTATTTTAAAGTTTTCTTTTCTTCAGGGTTTTTGTTTGYTTGGGTTTYWAATTGATTWGYTATGTTTGTCAACAGCCTGAATTCTAGATCAGCTGCAGACAGCAGAGATCTCAGCAGAGAGCACACCACCCATGTCCCTACCAYGGCAGGACCTGCAAAAGGGCATAGCAACTACAGGAACTGAGTACTCAAACTCAGTAATGGTATCAAACTCTGAATCTGTTCCTTTCCAGACAGCAGGTGAAAGCTGTAACAATAACTAAAAATCAGCAGCTTTAGGAAACCACCACAAAAAAAATCAACATTTTTCTCCAATGGAGGCAAAAGCACCCTCCTAAATAGTGTAAATATTTCTGGGCTCTGTTGATCAAAACACCATAGTTACCTCCTCAAATATACTTGGAGTAATTGTGTTTTGGGGGTTGTTTGTTTTAAAAAATACTCAAAACCATGATTGTTAACTAGGATAACGACATGGTATCCTTCTACTTCTTCAGGACAAGGACTTGCTGCTAAGTGGCATTTAGAAAACAGACTGAAACATTTGGAATATAATGTAAAAACAGAAGGTAAATCAATAAACTTCAGAACACAAATGTTCTACAGAGCATGATGCTCACAGCAAATTCAGCAAAGTGATCTTGTTTAAAATACATATAAAATACACAGGTCGTTCCCTATTGATTCATACATGCAGAAAATTAAGAAAAAAACAGTTTAAAATGTTATTTTAGAATGCTAAGTACTCTTTGATTTTAAAACAGTCCATGTACTCTTAAAGAACAAATTATCAAGTATGGACAAAAGAATAATACGTATTTTAAAATCCATATTGACCTTCCAGACATGGAGACGAGGTTAGAGAGAGCATGTCACTTAATAACACAGCATATTATGTTTTCTGGAATATAATTTTGTCCCTTGAACTGATGGAAAAACTTACAGASAGGCTCTGTACTACTCTGTTAGTACAATGGCAAAACACGAAGGTAAACAAATCATTACCAAAAGCCAGTTCAGTTTAATYTCCTATTAATTCAAGGGACTGAACTGGAGCCAAATGAAATTGTTGATGGTGTACCAAGAGGCCTTGGAACCTGAGGCCAAATAAATCTAATAAGAATCCTGAGTTATCCATCTTTTCAGATAAAATCAGGAGATACCTTTTTTCCTTAAAAAGGACTGCTATGTAAGGTCAATTGCTGAATAAACTTTAAGGTATGGAGAAAAAGGGCCCTAGCTGGTAGTGTGTATGAAAAGAGATAATCTGAAATTATAGCCATCTGCAAACCTGTATTGGCCAAAGTCACCATTACAAGATGATCCCACAGACAGAGAAACTCGAGTATTTGTAGTTCAAGACAGTTGCCAGATATCTTTGAAATTAGAAAATAACCAATTCCCACACTCRTATGCATGGTTCTTTCTCAACAGACAAAGCACAATTACTTCCTACCACTGCCGATTTTTTATTATTATTAATTGTCTAATTTCTGGCAAGAATTTTCAACACTTCTGAGACAGTGCTTCTCCAAGAAGCTCTCTGAAGATGCAATGATTTTTAAGAAAGATGATCAAAGAACCAACTTGCAAACCCTAACTTATGTTTCAAAACTGCCAACTCTGACCGGGTGCACATCTAGGACCCAATAAGCAGYGCCAGGCTTTCTGCTGGCATCCTTGGCACTGGTAGGTGTGCCCTTCAGCATTTCTGCCACAGGAGAAACACTGTTATTCTTTTAGTAAATACAGAGCTGAAATTTAAAAGCTCAGCAATTCCAGATGGTCCTGTGGAGTTTGTCAACATCCACAGTAAAATGCAGTTCCCATGASTGAGCAAAGCTTTGGTGGAAGAAGTGGCTCTCGAGAGGAGGGGAACAGAACTCGAAACAGAAGGTAATGRGCTTCAACACCAAGCCTCCTACACTTGTGAAAGGAATACTGCTGCACTTTTCCAGGCAGACAGAAGGCAGGSAGGTTTTATTGCCAGGATCTTGAAGTGACTCACTGTAAGAAGGCAAAGAATCTTACAGAACATTTGCAATCCCCAGAGCAAAACCATCAGTTAACACTGRAGGGGTTATGAACCCATATCCCTCATGAAGCTCACACTGAATCTCATCAATACCATGGAGCAATGTGCAGAACACCCAGTGCATTAAGTGCTTGTCTTTAAGCTGAACACCATATGGTTGTGCAACATGCAAACTTYAAGAGATAATCCAGACATAATGCCCCAAAGCAGATATTTGGGRGTGAAAAATCAGAATTTTGCAAACTTCTCTGGGAACAAGTCAGGACTGGGAGTAATGTCTGGGAAGCASGGTAACAGCTGAGGAAACCAGTGGTCTAGCAGCATACCAGAGTATTGAGTGAGAAATTACCAGTCGAGGCTAACTGAAGCAGAATTAGTTTCCCAGACTCAGGCTAAAATCTGCGCTGAAGCCTGARTACAGTTATAAGTTATCTAGAAAGATCTACATAAAGCTAGCTGAATGTATTAAAACAGAAATGGGCTAAATTGGCAAAAACTGAGGGGATGCTTATGGCCATAGCATCATCCTTTGCTATAAATCTGAATTCAGTCTAAAAACCTTCAACACTCAAAAATTTTATCCTACATGAGGCTCAAAAGTCATCATAGMATCATAGAATGRTTTGGRGTAGAAGGGACCTCATAGATCACCWAATTCCARCTCCSCTGCCACGGACAGGGRCATCTTTCACWAGACCAGGTTAGCCTTGAACACTTTCAGGARTGGGGCACAATWAGCAGCTTTTAGCAAGCTGGAAACACAAGACACAAATCAAAGAATTGTTTGTAATCCTGCTCAGYACCTCCTGCTGTTCAGTCAAATCTGATGTCAATTCAACCCGGTGTCACACTTTTCAAACAACTTTTGCAAATTCATATGCGCTTGCTTAAGGTTCATAGAACACCATTAAACTCTAAAGCAAACAGGAAGTCAGCAGATGAAAATCTGGTTTCTGAGCACTGATCTGTTTGCTGAGCTGAACTCTGCCATTAACTAGCTCTGCAATGGGGCTGTGTAGATTGATCCAGAGATGATATAACAATATTGAGCATTAAATGAAAAACTGAAATATACTGAGGTGTGTTAGAGATTAACTTTTCCCTATCAAATCATGACATTTCCATATTCTAGTTTTTTTGAGTTACTTTAAGAATGGCAGATTTATGAAAAAAAGGACTTTTTATGGATTAAAACCCCCCAAACTATAACCAAGCCACAGTAACAGAAGATTTTACCTACACRTTTAAACAACTGTTGTGCAAAGAGAGCATTAAAATGGAGCAATCGCCTCAATGGCCTTGTTGCCATCATGATTCATGTATTGCCTGCACCTACATATCTCTGTCCTGACACACAGGCAGTGTGTTTCCTCTTAGTTCCTTCTCAGTACAGCAGCTCACTAAACATCAGTCAGTAACATGTGACAACCCCATGCTCTAACTCTCACACTACTTGATCTTAAAAGCTCATCTATTTAATCTTTTATTTCTCTTCCCCTTTTATCTCCAAGTACTGGTCCATGTGGCATCTTATTAAGATCCCTCTATTAACACTGTAACTAGCACATTCTTAGACAGAATCAAAGAAACATTGTCACTTATACTCCAAATTACAGTCTTCCAATTTAAAATATAATTAGTACTTTAATGGTGCTGTGCTATGAAAGACACTGCTTATTTAAAGTGCAAAAGATAGTAATTCACACTGTTGGCTAAATATGTTCGTAACATTCAAATATATCCTTTCTTCATATAAAATTACCTAAGCTTTTTCACACTGACAAATCAAAAAAGTCCAAAAAACAAACTTATCAGACAGGCAAACACATAAATTGGCTGCGTTCTCACCTTGTATACTTGGTCCAGAATCTGTGGACTGGGCAGGATTTAATGCCCAATGTAGYTGTCGTTGAAACTCAGCTCTGTCYTCTGTGTGAATCAATTCAAACACACTCTGATGTATAATATCTGACTACAAACAAAGGGAAAATGGTGTGAAAGAATGAGAGTAAGAAAATTATATGACAATATGATACAAGCARTCTGATTGACAAAGCTGTTAGGGATATAGCAAAATCAATTTTACTCAAGGATAAATACATACAAACACATACATGTGACGAAGCTTCATGAAACAGTTTTTAGCAGCACAGAGAACAAWTCAGTTACACCCATGACTGCAAGCATGGGAAACAACAATAAAAAATATTGCCTTAGCAAAAAAAAAAAAAACAACTTACATTATGTCAACAATTTCTTTACCTGCTTTTATCCAAGAAAGCTGGGAAATGCTATGCTTAGGTTCTATTTAAATAATTTTAKTTTAGATAGTGGTAAATAAAGTACTTGCCAGCTAGTACTTGACTTGACCCACTATAGGTGCTACAGGGATAGAAAAGAAGCTAAAGACCCTGAACCAAACAACTGCCAAGWCTAAGACAGGTAGATTATAAACAGTGGATTTGTTTGCTTGAAAGCTTTGTCCCTTCTTAAGGATGCATTAATGTAATTATTAAGCTCTTACACCACAACCAATTGTGCGGTTAAGAAAGTGATCTAAATGGCAAAGGCACCAGAGCAAGGATCAGCGCCTACAGGAATTTAAGGGAGGGGGAAAAAACCCCAAAACATTCAAAAAAAGACTCAGTTGACTGACATGAGTTAAGGTCCCCGTTTTCAACATGTTTCAAAAACTTAACCATAATATAAACAGAAAATATTTAAAAAAAACATAGATCTAAGGTAATTGAGATTACCTGGCAAAAGCAGGAGCCTAATTCAAATTTTGTTATGATGAATTTCATAAAACAATCAGTATTTTCCAAAACAAACTGCCAGAAATGCTAATTTTAGAACTTTATGGCTTCACTTCTACATCATGCACTTGATTTACTGGCATTACTTCACAAATTTTATGCCCAATTTGTTTTCTAAGCTCTTTTCTTTTTTCATTCCCCAACACTGAAGGAAYATGTAACCTTAGGAATAAAAATGGGGTTTTAAAAAGTATTTTCTTTTACACAAACTTTCCCCAATCTCTTATCAGTTACCTAAAACTGCAAACCAACCAAGGTTTCTCCCTATTTTTGGACAGCAGCTGAATTGATCAACATGCAGTATCCATGGCTATATACTGAGATCTGTAACTATCACCTTCATTCTATTATTATCTTCATATAAAGTAATTTGAGGAGTTTTCTAACAAAGGAAAAAGTTGCCTTCTATGCCTTGGTCTTTAGTACTTTGGCACCTGGCTTGCAAACCCAGTGAAGTCAACCRTATGTGATCTGCACCATAAATAGCAAAAAACAAATGCTTGTTTTGAAATTAATAATTAAACAAATAAACATGAGTAAGAGAACAAATTCTAAAAATACTAAACTCACTCACTTGATGTTTAAAATKTCAAGGCATATGGAAATAATTTTGCATGAAAGGTTTCTATTAAAATAATTACCTTCCCATTGAATTATGTCTCACTCAGCATCATAAACTGGGTAACACCACAGTATAAATTTCAAACAGTTGTTCCAGTAAAGAATAATTAAGTGTGAAAATTTCCTAACTTGCCTAACTCAACTTTGGAAATTATTTTCCTGTTGTGCTTGGCCGGACATCCTGGCTATGTAAGCTGATAGAAAAGTAATAAGGTTTCAAAGTAATTCAGCTTAAAGTACCTAACCAAGATTTTTATAACAAAAAAATTTTAAGACCTAAATATGAACACTGATGTTCTCTGAAACAAAGCAAAAACTCTGAAAAAATAGAAGAAAAAATAAACTTACTTGTTGGAATCCCAAGTAGTCTTGGACAGTAGAAGAGACGTAAAAAACCAGAGCATCTGCTGTAACAACTAACACAAATCCATTTAATGCCTGGGGAAGAAACACACCAATCTGTCAGCTTCAGAGGCAAAATTCCAGATAATTATTGTGGCTCTAGGTCTGCCTATACTGTAGTTCCCCCCAAAAATGTGAAGCATGCAAAAGCATATAATTATCTAAGAGCATGAACAGAAGGATTCCTCACTGCATCTCTCTACATATACRTGTTAAAATTAAGAAAACTGGATCACAGGAAAAAATACTGAACTTTTTTTAAAAAAAAAATCAGTGGAGAAGCCAAACRATGTTGATGACTTTTAAATACTCTTGATTATATGAGATGAGGGACAACAGTATGAGCAACTATAAAGTTTAACTAATATCAACCACAGTTCCCAATACCTGTGTGGCTCAAGTTTTCAACACCCCTAGCTGCCCACAGCTCAAACCAGAGCCACATCACAACCCCAGTCCCAAAATCCCTTCTATTCATAGTGCAGACAGGCCACTGCGGCCAGGAAATCAAGCTATCAAGATCCCCTCCATAGTCCAAGAGAATGTTTTACAGCTTACTTAAAATAGAARACCTCTGCACAAGTGGACTGTTGCAAGTAAACAATGTTTTTGAAGAGATTTCCCCCTCCATGGAGCAGCAGACCAGGCGGCTCCACACTCAAAGTCACGCAAAGGGCATTTATCTGAACTCCCAATCAATAYGGTCCATGGCAATTGTTGTGATAGCAAACAGTACATTTGTGACTTGGCAGCTCATCTGAAAGGTGCCGATTTAYTTCTATGGATTTCAGTCAAGATTTAACAAAAGGCAGTCTCTAGGGGCTGGATTCAGTATATTGTGCCACTTAATTTACTCAGCTGCATTCAAAGAAAAATTTGGCCAGCACACACAAAACATTAAAAAAAAAAAAAAAACCTCCTTATTTATGTAGAATTATTTTAACATAGAAAATGTAAAGTAAATGAAGGGTATCCTATATCTTACTGCAACAAACTAATACCATATAAATTAAGTATCTGCTTAGATGACTGGGCTTTAAATGCTGTGAACCACTCCAATTTAAYATGTAGATATTACTTAATCTACTCTCATAAACAGTTGTTAGCTCTATAAAGCTCCTTATAAGTTTAGCAAATTTTACATGAATAAAGGATGAGTTAAAAAAAATACAATTTGAAATAAAATAGCACAGCCAATCCAAGAAATCTTGAGTGRTTACACAGAACCCTTGGTTTTGATGAAGCTTGCAGTAATTTCACGGGAGCAGAATGCCGCAATGGCAGGTGCTCGTGTCCTCTGCTGACCTGCTCTGCAGGGCATTTCACCTCAGCTGGTTGATATAAAAATCTGCAAGATGCACAACATCTAACTTTGTCTCAAATGTTARAATTGGTTATTCTGGTCCATTTCATCTGGTCCATGTGCACCTTCTGTACCTGAAATTCAACCAATTTTGCACTGGCTCTGGTACAATGTTCATGCTGAACCAGGATTTTTACTGAGATGGTCATGCGCATTCTTTAAGCCAAAAATTCTGTAAAATGCATAAATCTGTTTATACCAATAAATGGGAGATAAGTCCTGATAGAGGTTTTKGCAAAATGCAACCCAAAAATAATTATCCTAAAAGACATAAAAACTTTTCTCAGTAATTCTGGAGAACTGAAGATGATATTTGTGACTCTAAAGATTACTCTCAATGCTCTTAATAAAAAGGTAATTGYRAAATTTTTCRTTACTGGTGAGAATTAAGTTAAAAACTTAGAGGTCAWCATTTGTCTTGCATGTTTTATTGTAAACTTGCTTAGAATGTAACAGATTATGTATTTAAAGTAATAATTTGAAATAATTTATATAATTTCAAAAGAAATGTAGTTTGATATTAATAAAGGCACAGTTATGACATTTATGTGTTTGATTGCTACATCCAGAATATATTGAATTGGCAAGGCAGTTTCTATGTGGGAAATTAAAGACAATTGAAGACAAACCTCKGATGAACAAATAAAAAACAGTAGGGTGTATATTCATATCCCCTTGGTAAAACAAAAAATAGTAGGGAGATAATAAAAGAGAAATGTTCATCATCARTTACAAGTTATTGACACCAGTGTAACACAAAAGACTTCCAAGTACAAGTGGAAGAATTTTATCAATATTTACAACTCACTGATTCCCACTATCTTCTAGAAAATTCCCAATTTCATCACACTCATGACTTCTTACATTACCTAAGAAAACTCTATCTGCATATTCATTCTCATTAATTTTTTCACATATATAAAATATTTACAGAACAAACTCATTTAAGAAATTCCGTTAATTTAGTTACTTCCCAAGAGGGGCAGAATTTACAGCAATAACTATGTCACCCATTTAATTTTCATTCTGGAAAACAGTTTACTCATATAACTGCCACTTGTAAGTCATAAAAAAACCCCGTGTATTTCAGATTAAATAGATGCCTCCACTATGAACCATATATTTTAGCTTTTTAGGGTTTTGTCTGTTTGAAAGAAAGYCCTTCACTGGTAGTAACTCCATAACAATTCTTTGTCATACTTTATTAAGGTTAGAAAATTAAATACATGTCGTAATTTTTTAGTTGGTGAGAAAATAATTTTCAACTGGATCACTCAAAAATAATTGTTTTGTGGTATTCTTAGAMCCTGTTTTAATTTCTAGTCTTTGGACACTGAAATTCATTTTGCTCTAAGCAAACAATTGCCTGTGACCAAGTAATTTGCCACTTTTGATAGATACATCAAAAGTGAAACCTGTGTGGAAGACAATCAACATATTTCAAGTGAAGTGGCAGGTTTCATTAAAATCTATGTTTTGAAACTAATTAGAACATTGTAATACCTATATTAGTAATTTCTTGAGCTTAATCTGGACTTAATAGTATATAATTATCCACATGCTTTGATACTCTAGGACATTAAAACAGACTATATAATTAAAAAAAAACCCACACTTTTTTATTAATACTTTACATTAGTCCATATAAAAGTTATTCAAAGTATTTTAAAATTTGTCCTGAATCTACACTATGAAAACTGAGCCCTTTCAAACCACTGAAAAAGCAAGATATTTCAGCAAGTCCAAGTTCTTTTAAGGAGAAATTGTTTCTTTTTGATAATTAGTCCCCAAATTTACAACTTAGTAGATCAGTAAATTAGTAACTTAGCAGGCCCTTATAAAAACTGTTTCTTTATAATAACATCTTTAGTAACAACAGATTCCAAGAGATGGGAACTGCCCCCTCTAATAAATGGAACTGCCCCCTCTAATAAATTACTTAGAAACATTGAAGAGTTTCCATATCCTAACATCCACTCTAAAGTCACAACTATCAAAGAAAATGCTAGAGCTGTTTAATATTACCCTGAAGAAAATGAGGAAAGAATTAGAAAATGTCTGGTTTTTTATTATCAATGTTATCAGTGAGCATCTAGTGTGCTAAATACAGATCAGTTTTTTTTTTTTTGTAATTTAAATCTTCATATGATATGTCTACTGCAAAACATACCTGCAATAGGAGTTCTCCTTCCAGGATCTGCATCCCTTCTCCACTCTTTCCTGTTTTAGAGGATTCCTGAATGCCATTTCTTTCTGGTCTGGTAGAGTTAGAAGATTTTAATGCAACTAGAACAAAGAAAAGAAAAGAGAAATTGAGCAATTCTCACTAGTGAGYAATTCTAGTGAGCAAAGGCTCACTAGAAATTTAGGTAATGATGTGCTATTTTGTGTAAGAAAAAAATGTATTTAAATATATATATTATATATATATATATATATGTAATGAATTCAATCTACTGAGTTTTGTTTCCATGTCAAACTTTTTCCTTACATTTAGAATTTATCCCCAAATTTGCCATACTTCTTTTTTCTATACTGTAACACTTTCACAACAAAATCAGTATTATTTCAAAACCCAGTTCTCATTATTTTGTATCTTTTTTCCTTCTTTTCCTTCCCTTTAGTATAAGACTCACTTCTAGTTTGTCACTCTTGTGACAAACAAAGGGCACTTTTGTTTACATAGGCCAACCTCCTACAAACTGATAACARCTCTGTGTCAAAGTATGAAAATACTTGCACTTATTCTTATCCCACCTAATTTCAGACATCAAACTATGGTTAATCAGACAGATAAACCTGCTCTAGACCTAAAGCTCCCTTTAGGGAAAGGAAGGAAAGAAACACAAACCCTAAATACACGCTACATATTAAAAACACCTAACAAAACAAAGAAAGGTATTTCAAACAAAAATATGGGTGTGGYTATTTTCTGTCATAGTTAAATTTTAACCTTTTAAACAGCTAAGCACTATTTCCAATTTCAGATAAAATTCTATAACAATGAATCATCATCATTCAGAACACAAATATATCCAAGTGAAAGAAAAAAATTCACTCAGACTAAGAGATGAAGAATCAGACCATATTGCTATGAAGTTCCTGAAAGACATTCCCATCTCTGCATCCTTCTAATAAACAAGATGCTGTCAAATAAAAACTACATWCTCAATGATCATCCATAACTCAGAATTTACCTACTTTTTACCATTCMAAAAAAGAGGGRAAAGAAAAAAAAGAGGTCTTCAAATCTGAAATTAGTCTGAGTAGGTCTGCAGTGTCTAAAYAAATTAAAATTAYTTGAGCAATTGTACCTTAAAAATTTACCATAAAACTAAAGACCTCCAACCCCAAAATTTCTAAGCTGCAAAGCATTGATAATAGAATAAAACCTATAAAAACAGCTGCACTTCTGTAAAATGTGAGTTTCTCATAATGATGGGATATTCACCCAAAATTCCAAGTGATTTTTCAATCTTCTGAAAACCTTAATTTTTCCACTGCTCAGAACTTGAGTCATGAATCCTGAAGAACTTCTGTCCACTCACTTTCAAACTACGTTAAATGATATTTTACACTATATATATGTAACTGAAAGATCAATKATGCCTTTCCCCTTTTTTTAAGCTATTATGGCAGCTAAGAACTTTCAAGCCAGACAGTTTTCATTAAAATATACCTCAAAGGCACCACGGAGGAAAAACGTGTTCTAAAGAGACATGAACTAATTAATCAGATCAGAATGTATCTAAGGGTTTGCTTTGAAATTAAACCCTTAATGCTGTTCTTCCTACAAGGTAGTCAAAAAGTCCTGCAACAGGCCACACAGAGTTGCAGCTGTAAATTCATGTGACTGGATTATGTAGCCAATTTTTTTTCTGAACATTATTTCAAAAGGATATATAGAATATTCACTAAAGACCTCTGAAGTCAACAGGCAATAGAAGAAAACTTTGATTTATATTGTATGATTATTGTAAAAGTTCATATTCAGTTGTGAGAACTGCGAGTAAAGACACCTAATCACGTTTGCCATTCTGCAAAATACTATGTAATTATACTCAGGTGGGTTTTTTCTTTTTTAATGTCTGATGACATAACATACTGTCTGATAGATAAAATCTATACCAGTTAACACAGCTCCTGAGTTCAAAAATAGCCAATGCATGGCTATTTCCTCCTAACTTTCAAGGTACACAGGAGGTATATGTGAAATTAAACTTTTTGTGAATTGAAACCAACACCTTTTGCAGAATTCAGAATGTGGAATCAAGCTGCTTACAACTAAGGCACATGGAGAATTGCCAACAATCTGGATTATTAAAAATGGAAGATACAGTGAAAATTAGAGCTGTATATCCATCACTGAGTATACAACTTCTGAAAAAAAGGAAACTCAATAGTTCATTACTTTGTAATACTTGAATCACTGAATTAAACAGAATTCATTTGGGCCTATACCCTCTTAATTTTCTGCCACAGAAAATAAAAACATGAATACTCCCACAGAAAAAAATTGGAAAAATCTAGAGTAGACATACTCTAGAGTAGATTCACTATCAAATTACTTCTCAGAATTTTCGACTAATAACTTTAAAACATCAAAATAAAGCAAAGTTGTTCATACTTGTTAAAAAAACAAACAAAAACTAAACAAATAAAAAACCTCAAAATCAAAAAGCATCTGTTACACAATTTTACAAGGAGGGCTGGATTGTAAGCACCTGTTTTCCAAATAGGTTATTGATTGTCATTTAATCCTATGTCCAGCAATAAGCATAATTTCCTTTGCTTAGACTTCCCTGATTTGAAGTACAAGATGAATCCCAAGACAACTAGTGATTTTCCTAGACATTAAAAAAAAAAAAACCTGATACATTTGTCTTATGACTGTGGAATGTTTGAGCACCCAAAGCAGCAAATGTAAAAGACAGTTGCTTTTACATTATMTCTACAAAGATAAATTAACTAACAATGGTTACATCAGTATTTATCAGTTTCTTATCTCTGGTTTTAACCATTGCAGTCAGATGACAAGACACTTCTATGGAGATGTTGCATACKTTATTAGACTAACAGTATGGAAAAAAGAGGCATAAAAATACTTCTTCAGGTCTGAAGCAGAATTCTAGCAATTGAGTTCTAACTACTGCCAAAAGGTATCTTTCATTTTAAAACAGCGTAAGTAGTCATAAAAAATTATTTTCAACACCTAAGGACAACAGGTATGAAGTGCTCTTCCTTCTTTCCAGGGACCAACAGTAAAAATTAGAAACTGCATGAGTTATAAGCAGCTTGCTGAATCATTTAATAATTCATGATAGAGTAATTTCATTAATTATCTGCTGAGATAATCCGAGATTATTCTAATATGAGGAAAATTATTGAAAAAAAAAAGTCTATCCACCATCTCATTTAATCTCTATGCTGCCATCCAAGAGAGGCTCTAGTCCAAGATGGAAAAGGCCTTTTTCACCTCCAAACACCTGATCTCTATGGTTTATATTTGGTAGGGATGCTTCCTGCAAGCTTCAACCCACAGTGACCTCTTCCTTGCAGGCAGTCACTCCTGTTCTCAGTATGAACCTTTTCTTTCCTCACTTCCTCACTTGGCAGGTAGCTGCTCTGATGTCCCAGCTCCATTATTTCATCCAGTTCAGTTTGCAAAATCAATCACCATGCAGCCATCTGTAGCCACCAGAGCCCCTTCAACAGGAATCCTGTAAATGATGGTTCCTTACTCTCCTTACCAGAAGTTACAACAGAATCATAAAATTGTCACAGAGCAAGGTTAAGTATACTGTAATGATGTACTTGAGATGGCCCTGCCTCTACTAATTGTTGCAAAGTTAATAAAGCAACTGGAGATGCAGAGAACTCAGAATAATATACATATTAGCAACTATCTATCCAAGGTTTTGATCAGCATTCATGCAGAAACCTGATTTAACACATAAATACTTGAATTGTCAAATTTACTATTACTTTAAGAAAAAATACAGATAGTTAAATTACTTAAAGTAAGAGAGAGGCATTCAAAAACTGTTCCACTTCCCTTMATCATGAAAGAAGTGACATTCCTTCTACACTTATACAAATATTCAAAAGAAGTATCAGTAAAAGTGAAATCTAAAAAAATGCCTTCAACCTGAATGCGGCTAATATCTTATATAATAATCAGATGTCTGGCCATAGAATGAGAGTAGCATCCACCAGTGAGTATCAGGACACTGTCAATATTCAACTCAGCCAAACCAAATTTATTACACTGTTTTCCTTAAATCTAGAAGTAACTAAATTTAGGGGAAAGTACTTTTTTTTTTCTTTTTCAAATTATCAGAAAGAACAAAGTAAACAAGAGAAAAACAAATAAAAGGGGGTTGTTTTCTGTGTTGAGTGAATAAAGAAGCTTTTCTGACCTAAATGCACATTTATGGTTTCAGCCGTGAAGTCTGGAGAGATTTTTCTCCATTGAAATCTGAGCATTCCCACACCAAATGTCTCTTATTATCAAAGGAGTAAAAAAACATATGATTAAACTTTCCATCTCAAAATTCATCTAATCCAGCCATGTGTTATCAGAGTGCTGAATACAAACTGTTTCAGCAAGTGCTGATTGAAAAGCTTCATGGAAACCATACCAAGGTACTACATGTTTAGAACCTTTTCTTTTTCCTACCTTTTCTTCCCCAAAGAAAAACACAGCAAATTGTTTTAGAGGAATCAGGGTAACTCACTCCAGAGAGGTGTAGAGAATATCAAGATGTCAAATTTTAAACAGACCATTTAAAATCACATTGAAATGCAACAAATTTCTTTGAATCAGACTCAAGATAATTTCTACTTTTAGGTGAATGATCTGTCCAAGTCTAACACTATAGTGAAGCAACACTTGTCTATTATTGCCAGTATATCACTAGCACATCAGTCATGCAGTCCTGGAATTTAATCTTAAAGAGCTTCTCAGAGCTGCTTTAAATCAAATCTTGGCACCGTTTCCAAAATTCGGCCAAACAGGTCAAAGTTTGCAGTCAAAGCCAATTGAGACTGTTTCATAACCTTTTCAGCAGATTTATAAATTCTACTTGTCTGTTCTAGATTAGTGTACAAAAACAACAGTTCTCTTGAGGGGGGTGGTCTTGCTTCAGCAACAAATTCTAAGCTTCAACACGAAGGTCACCAGCCAACACAAAGACAAAGACGGGACTACTGAGAAAACAGTAGTTTAATATTAACTCTTGCCTAAATCATTAACATAAGCTAAACTGTTTATACTGGTGAAAGAT